CAAATCATTTTGGTGCACCTAATTTTGATGCAATCCTCACCCTTAGATCTCACAATCTAAAACACCAGATTCATTCTTATTTCTTTCATAAGATCGCATTCTCATTTGAACCAAAATCTATATATATAAAAGAAGTATTCCTTGGAATCCCCATGACTACAGCAGCTGCCAGTTCTAACATATGCTTGCTACCTAAAGTTGCGAACGCCAACAAATTAAATGACTTTAGACCTATTTGTCTTTCCACTGTAGCTTCCAAAATTGCTACTAGGTGCATTGCTAAAAGGTTGGGCAGGATTCTTCCAGAAATTATCTCTGAAGAACAACCAGCATATGTGCCTGGGAGAGAAATGTTGGATCAAATTCTCATTACCAAGGAGCTGGTCCATAACATCAACAAGAAAACTAAAGGGGGAAATCTAATTATTAAATTGGACCTTTCCAAAGCCTTTGACAAAGTGAAGTGGTTCTATCTTCTAGACATCCTTCAGAGATTTGGATTCTGCCCACAGTTCATCCACATGATTGAGAACCTCCTGGTGTCCTCCAAATACTCAATTCTCCTCAATGGTAAACCATGTGGTTTTTTTGGCCAATCAAGGGGCATCAAGCAGGGTGACCCTTTGTCTCCTTTGCTATTCATCATTGCTAATGAAGGATTCTCCAGAAATCTCAACAACCTATTCCTTAAGAGGGTTGTGGACAGGTTTAATTGTGGGAGGCACTCCATCCCAATCACTCACTTATCTTACGCTGATGACATGATTATTTTCTCCTCTGGTGATTTCAGGTCTATTTCCAATTTGATGAAATTCCTCAATACATATCAACTTGTCTCAGGTCAAACCATTAACTATCATAAGAGCAGCTTTATGGTAGGAAAACAAGTTAACACTTTGCAGATCACAAAGCTGGAAAAAATCATGAATATGTCTCATAAAAAGTTTCCGTTCATCCACCTTGGCACTCCTATTGATCTTGGAATCACAAGGGCAGGTCACTGTGCGGGCCTTATTCAATCCTTTGACAGCAAACTGAATGGATGGTACCAGAGGAGCCTTGATCATGCTGGAAGACTAGTTCTCATCAACCACGTCCTGAACACCATT